CGTCTGTCCGGGTATTTCAACTCGTCAACCACGCAAGCTTTGAAGCTGAAATTTTGCCAGTGTGTTTCCCAGCCAGGTGCCTCCCCAGGACCGCGGTATCAACTCTCACGCACGTCTGGGCCCTGCGTAGGAGCACGTGAAAGTTTTGGCGGGAAAACTGATAACTCGAGAACGAAAGAAGCTAGACAGCTGAAGTCTTAAGGGAATGTTCCCTACTCGTCTATAACAAAAAGATTTCAAATTCAGCTGCCCAGGACTGCCTGGGGCTCACGTACGGGCGCGTGAAAACTATGGCGGGAAAATTCATAACTCGAGAATGAGAAAAGCTAGGAAGTTGAAACTTTAGGGGAATGCTTCCTACTTACACACGACCAAAAGCTGTCAAACTCAGCCCCTTGGACCGCCCGGGTCTTACGACGGGTACGTGAAAATTCTGGCGCGAAAATTACTAACCCGGGAATGGGAAAAGCCGGAAAGTTGAAACTTTAGGGGAATGTTCCCCACTCATATGCGAGTAAAATCAGGTGTTTAGAAGCACCCGAGCCCACCTACGAGCGCGTGGAAATTTTGGCGCGAAAATTACTGACCCGTGAACGAAAAAAGCTAGAAAGTTGAAACTTTAGGGTAATGTTCCCTACTCATGTGTGACCAAAAGATTTCAAATTTTACTCCTCTACTGCGGCCTTTTTTACGGACCAGCAACTTTTCATTTCTGGGGTTACTGAAGTCGACATTTACAACTGACATTCCACACAGTTGCACAATTAACTTTCCGAATTTCGAAGGCCAGTATGTCACAGGGTTAGTTGTCGTGATTCCTAGCGATCTTGCTACAGCACGAAAAGTGCAAAAACGCATAATCGCACCTGCCAGTCTGGTGCGTTCTATCCTGGGTTAATATCATCCCTCGTGGGCATCTAGGTGTCGCGTACGGACGCTTTAAAAAATATGCAAATTTTTTGGCGGGAGAGCAATCTCGGGAACCAGACAAAGTAAGGGGTTGAAATTTTGTAGGATATTCCATATGCATGTGTTAGCTAAGGATTTCAAACTCAGGTATGCTTGGTACTCAAGGAAGGGCGTATGAAAGTTTCTGCGGATAAACTGCTAACTCGGCAACCAGGAAAGCTGGAAAGGTGAAATTTTAGAGTGATATTCCCTGTCCGCGTGCAATTTAAAAATTTCAAATTCAGCTGCCCAGGCACGTGGAGTACCCATGTATGCGTATGTGAGGTTTTCGGCGGGAAAATTGCTAACTCATTAATCAGAAAAGCTGAAAGGCTGAAATTTTGAGGGAATGTTCCCTATCCAAAATACAACTCAAATATTTCAAATTCAGCCTTGAAGCGTGCATGGTTCTAACGTACGGGCACTTAAAATTTTCGGCGGAAAAATTTCTCACTGAACAGCTAGGTTGCTTTCAAAGAATGGCCGTTAAATGGAAATTGTGCATTTACTTTATGCAAAATTCATGGTAATTTATACTAGTGATCGCAAAAGGTAGGTGTAAAGCAACAACCATTCATGAAGTTAAAGACCTGAGTGCTTCAAGTCCGGTGTAAAAAA